ACTGGCGGCAGCCCGTAAATAACATGTACAAACAAGTAATTACAGTATAGGTATATGATTGTATATGTAAACTAATAAACAAAATAATCAAATGCGTAAGTATGCATGTGTATATTATATATATATATATACATACACACACATAGAGTCTCATGTACGTGTTTGTTTGCCCTAACAACACGTGCGACTATCTAAAACGGTGGCAACTTGGCACAAGGCACAAATCCCAGCAGCGACATGTGGCCAGGCCTTTAACCTTGCCATGCGATCAGCTCTTGCGCAACAAAGCTGAACTCCAACATGACCGCCGTATTTCAGAATTCGCAGTTGCAATATACAGCAGTACAGGAAGCAAGCCGCAAGCGTGCCGGTTTTGACATTCCTGCCGTGCTCGGCAGCCCAGGGGCCACGAACTTAGACCAGCAGCAGCCGGGATAGATTCCGAATTAGTTGGGCAGCTTGTGACATTACTAGGGAGACACCTTTCTGTGGAGCTGCACCAGCGAACGCAAACACATGCTTGCTGCCACCTTGACCCAAGGTCATTTCCCTGCCTCCGTCTCGGCTCGTCGCCCGGCTGTAGCAACCACCTCGTGGTTCGGCTCCAAGCAGTTTCTGTGTTAAGGGCCCCTCCGCGACTGCGTGTCTCATCTAGCTGCCGACCGTCGCATTGCGACGAGAAGCCGGGTTTAGGGTTTAGGGAATCGGCAAAGTAAGCAAATCTCTGACTGGAGACAGGTCGAAGCACGTGCCAGATGCCTCGAGACGAACGTGTCAATAGAAAACAGCAGAGCCATAGCGAGGACACACCAATGAAAGAGTGCTGGGCAGCAAACGCCACTGGCTAGTTCGGTTGATGGCAGTGAATGTGCTTCAATTCCGTGTGGCGGGTTCAGAGCAGCACTAGACCGGCTCTCTCCGCGAACAGCATTTCACTGACGAGGACCATCATGAAGATACACTGAGGGCACGGCAGAACCTGTAGCTGAAGCAAAGGCTGCACACAGTAGCCGCGAGTGAGCTGCGCCTTTGCATCAAGCCGGCTTCGAGCTCCGTGCGCTGCTCTGCCACGCCGAACTTCGACTGCCGAGCATGTTTTCAAGGCCACCGATTGGACTCTGAATGACTTTGAGCCGCTCAAATCACGAAGAGCCAGGGGCAACCAAAGAATCAGAGCCATGTGCTCTTCTTCTTGTCTCTCCCCGGCCCCCGACAGAGGGGATTCATACCCTTGTTACCGGACAGCTGCTGCAATCGGCCGGTGCAGGTGCTTCTGGGACACATGCCCCTGCCCCGTGACCGCTTTAGCATTGAAAAGCTGTCCTTCAAGGGCCGACAAGGCAACGCGGCACAAGGAATGCAAAATCTGTCTACAGGGCACCAGGCGGGCTCTGGGAAGAAGCTGTTGCCGTGATGCAAGTCTGCTGAAGAAAGAAGCAGTTCAGGGGCTTACACCTCTGCTTGTAGCATCTTCCCGAAGCCACACCCAAGGCGCCAAAAAGCAGTGCCCCCTGCAACTTTCCATCTGCTGAGAGGGCAACAGCCTAGAGTACCATGGTACGGGTGGCAATGCTTCCTATCAGTCCTAAGCTCCCCAAGGGCAGCCACTCTGGTTTTGGCTGACACCATCTCTTGGCATGAACACTCTGCATTGCCACCTTTCAACTGACGACGCAGCCAAAAAACAAACAGAAAGCTCGGAGAGGAAAGCCAGGAATATCTGGATTTCAACACGTGGCACTGGTGACGTGAATCTCACATGTCCTCTCCGGGCCATAGTCGTTACACCCCTAACACCAGCTGCCTAGAGCTCGGCATTCAGGAAGCAAGACCCATGCAAAGCGTTCCGGCAGCTTCTCACTGCCATAATGCCGACAGGTTGCCGATTAGTAAATTCAATTTGCTTTCTTGGCTTCTGCTTGTGCGGAGCAGAATAGATCCTGAACAAGAAAAGCGCGTTAGGCTGTAGACCTGGCGTAGATCAGCTGACGCTACCTGACATTGTGCTCGAGCACCACGAAGCCTCGTGTCGCATGCCTCCAACTCGCAGCACAGCAGGCTGCACAGTTGAAGCGATTGACCTGTTGGGAAAAAACCTTCGCAAACTGCCAAGGCTCAAAGGTCTTCGGCATGTCAAACAAGCAATTAGTTCGCTGGCTAGGTGAAAAACTTTCAGCACCCCTGGAGCAGATTTTTTATTTCCTATAGTACGACGTAAGTAAGATTTAGGAGAAGGCACTTGAATGACATTGGCTTCCAAGTTGGATGTGAAGAAGATCGCTGGAAGTTCGTTCGGCAATAGCCAGCTATGGACAAGCTCTCCCAACGCCGAACAAGCTTTTCACGCGTTGGCTTGCGTCCTCCTGGAAGTTGAGTGGCACAAAAACTGCCCTCACGTGACGTGGCATTAGAGGCACCATAAACGGACTATGAAGAATGACCCGCTGCGTCCTACGACATAGCGCGCACGGCTGCGCGGCTGATGGAGGGTAGAGGCCCAGGACTGCCGTGGCTGCCAATTCTCCCATCCTGCTTCATATCTTGGACTATGGACTCACGGACTCAAGGACGCAATGACTACAGAAGACTCAAGCCTCAAGCAAAGCTTTCTGTGTCCTTCGTGGACTCTTTGGAGGCATCCCGTGAAATCGGTTCAGCAGGAACCTCAACTTGGCCACAAGCAGAAGCACGTGAGCCCTTAGTCAACAGCCTCGTCTTCAGCCACCTGGAGCTGCATCGGTGTCGCAAACCTGGGCGGAGTTCCGCTTGCACTTCTGTGAAAAGCCTGTGGACCTGGAGCCTCTCCCTTCGAATGGGACTCCCACAGAAACCCACTGCAGGGCTGCCATCTTCACGGCACGCTGTGGACACAAGCTATTCATGCGCGGAAACACTACAGAAGAGACCGCTTCTTGACAAAACAGTCAGGTGCACTCGGGCTATGAGCGTGGACGGCTTCTACCGAGCAGCAACGTCTTGCTTTGGTCCTTAGCTGGCAACAAAAATTATCCGCGTTTTGAGACGTCTGCAGAAACTCAGAAGACAGCCTGAGACAGAAGGGCCCTCCCGTTCAAAGTGTACTCAAACAAATGCTATATCTTGATGTTTATCAACCTGTCGGCCCTACAACAACACAACAATTGGACCAACTGCCCTGGTCCAAAAAGTGCATCCCAGAAGCCCGCAACTGTTGGTTCATCTCCTGTCAATTGCCAGGCTCTACAGAGGTCGACCTTCGCACTAGGCAGCTGCCAGCCTGAAGCAGCTTGCACTGCCGGCGGAGGAACGAGAGCTCGGAGGAAGCGTCAGCGACACCTTCATGCCTTCAAGGAACGCATGGCCATGCCAAGCCCTTGAACTCTTAGACACTTTTTTAGTAAAGCAAGCGATACTCGCCTGGACTCTTCCGACTGCCGGCAGCGTAGCTGCAGTGCGCAGTGCTCTCGCGCAAGGCTGTGCAGCTCCATGTGAAGCTTCGAGAGCTCCTCTTTGCATGCAAGGAATCCACCGAGCTGACAGGCCCCAAGTATAGAGGCATTTAGTCTTTGTCGTCATTATCGAAGCGAGGCTGCAAGATTCTCTGCCTCATTCTTCACATGCAGCATCTCGTCACGGCTCTGCAAGGTGTTGCGCAGCTCGTTAAGCTTGGCCTGTCCACAAACCAGAAAGTCCAAAAACACGGCCTCCAGGTAGCAAAGCTTCACGCACGAGCGGTACTCACACGTTCTCGAAGGCAGGGGTCATGGACACGGATGGCAAAGACACACGAATCAACTCGTGCACACTCGTATTGCGTGCCTCAGCACAAGATCGGGCATCCCGCTCCGCGTGTAGTGCTTCACGCAACGACAGGATTTCCCTGTCCTCGACACCGCGGCCATGCATACACATCTAGCACAGGTCAGCCGCACTCCCGTCCTTGTCCGCGAGACGCTTCTCCGCCTTCGCAGCCCTGCACAGATCAGGTCTCACTCGAAGCTGCCGCGCAGATAAGTCAAAAAGTCTTACTGTATTTATCTGATTGTCCATTCCTGATGTTATGGCTCATGCTTGGTGGCTTTCCGCTGAGCGGAGACAAGCCAAGTGGGCTCCGAGCCAACAAGACCTTCTCGGAAGTCTCCGCGAAAGGCTGACGATGCCGGGTTGTTTGCTGTGCCCGGCGGCTCTGTCTAACATGTGAGCGCCTAGGATCCGAATGCGAATCGGACTGGGCGGTCTGTATGCACAGCTTACTTGCGGAGACCAGGCCTTGTCTGCTCCTGGCTGGCACTTTCCTGCCAGTCATCTTCTGCCTGGCGTCTCTGACACTCGGCAAAGGCTGTGGCCTGGCCCCAGAAGGGCCTCCGTGAGAATCTCGTTTGCAAGCTCTGAGCTTCGCTTCAGCGATGCTGCCTCGGGAAGGCTCTGCCATGCTCTGCTGCTCTGCCCTGCACACCACTGACCTCGAGCTGAGTTCTGAGGATTGCACAATCTCCTGCACTGCTCACATGTTGCTACGGTCTTGTCCGCTGGGACATGGATGCAGGAGTCTTCCAAGAGCGCACGCTTCACCGGCCTGCTGCATATGCAGAGCGGTCACCGAAGGAGCAAAGCCCAACACCTGAGCATGGGGACAGCACAGGAGAAGCAGTGCACCCGCAATCGTCAGTGACTTCGAGAAGGAAGTACACCTGTGTGCCCTGCTGTGAGCTCTCCATTCTCAATTACCTGAGTTGGAAAAACTGTCAGGTGGGCAGCGCATGCCGCATGCCTTTTTCCAATCTCAATCTTAAGATGGGGTGCACTCACCACATCCTCTCCGCGAAGGCGGCTGCAGGCACCGGCCATCCCATCCAGGGAAGCCTGTAGAGCTTCGTGCAGAGCGGGCAGAGCTTCTCCTCTCTGGCCCTGGTGTTCCTGGCAGCCCGGCTATTGCCAGAAGTGTCTTGAACATTCCGATCCGATCCTCGTCGTCTGGCAGGGAAGTCGATGAATCTGCAAAGAGCGGACAAGTCGGATGTCAGCAAAACGAGCAGCTCAACGGATTCAGAGGCTCGGCCTGTCTTCAGGGTCTCTCGGCTATCGCGTGAAGCCCGACGTAAATCCACCGTCAGCGATGTCCTAGTCACGGAGGCAAGCAATTTCGATGTCGCAGAACAGTCAGGAAAACCTATGGCTATGGAAACTTCACTTTATTCCGATCGGCTGCAAAGCACCTCCGTTGTTGTCCGAAAGGGCAAGATGCTGGCGAAGGTATCGGGCTTTCACCTGACAGAGGACGGCCATCAACTCCGATGTTCACGAGTCGGAGCTCAGAGCACATGAGCTGCAAAGAACACCTGGAGAAAGAGGTGACTCTGCAGAATCCGGGGCTGCGGTAGAACCTGCCAAGCAACGCCTTCGTCTCAATGTTGATAGAATGTGCCGGAAACTTAGGGTCTGGCCTGGGGAGTAGCCCCGCAGGCTGCTGGGCCATCGCTCCTCAGCCATGAAAACTCGACAGAACAACTCTGAGACGTGGAAGAGCTAAAGGCCATGGCTTCACGGTTCGGCGCCAGTTTGAGCTGTGCCCGGGCAGTGGGAGCCTCATGTGCGCCTGTCCTGCAAGCCAATGCAACACCGTGACCCTGAACCCATCACACAGAGGACGAAAGGGGCCGCCCCAACCCAGGCCCACGTCAGGCCTCAACATCGCTTCGCTGTCTGCTTGAAGGTCCGCCGCAATTCACTCTATAATCTATAAGTGCCTCTCTCGATGTGTCTGGTACATGACACGACCTTGTTGACACCGTGGGAAGCCGGATGTTGAAATCTGACTCAGTGACATATACCGGTAAAACTTCGCGGCGTACTGCTAATGCCTGACACACAACAGCCTTGACAGAGGAGCGGCGATGCAACGAAAGGTCGGCAACTTGCGTTGCTGCACGGTGACGTCTGTGGAGCTACGCCGCTGCAGAGCTGAGCCTGTCGGCAGCGAATACGCAGGACCTGGCCGACTGCCTGACGAGGGACTGAGTCAACTTACAACGGTGGATCGAAAAGCGGGCCAGTCCTTCAGCCACCGTCCACAGGTTCACCATGTTCCTGCCTGGAGCATCCAGCACCTTAAAGATAGGACTGAGTATTGAGCTTCCCCCAGCTCCTGCACGTCATCCATCTCAGCAGCAAAAGCCGTAACCCGGCCGAGGAGCGCCAAGCAGACGGTTTCCGCAAGGGCTCCAGTCCTTGGAAAGTCTCCAAAGAAGGCCCATGGCATGTGCTGATATTTGTCATTTCCGCAATCCAGGCACGGAAGAAATGAGGCGCGGAAGCAGCTTGGTGCGCGTTGCTTTTCAGATTGAAGGCTTTGGCAGCAGCCCAAGCTTCATGAAAAAAGGAGCGGCCCAAAGTGGACGCCACCCCCTCCGTCCCCCTCCTTCCGTCAAGAATCGGCGGCTGCCCGGTCTCTGGAGCTGACAGTGTGATCCCACCGCTGCTACCGCACCAAACCAGAGAAGCACAGATGGAGCCCAAGCCCCAAGCAGGAGAGAAAACTTAGCCTGCCGTCAAACTGCCTATGCCCAGAGGGACACAGCATGCAACTTAACTTGACGGCTCGAACAAACTCTGGGAATCACAGGTGGCGTGTGGCTTCATTGACGGGGTCTGTTGCAGCACAGCTGGGCGTCTAGCAAGACTCCACCTCCCACTGCTCCCGCTGCTCACCTGCCAGCTTCGAGTTGACCCAGAAACTGCCTTCAATTCATCACTGCACTTCTTGCACCACGTGGCCTCGCCGGTATCTTCCGCGGCCCCTGCCAGACGTCAAGAATTCTGAGGGTACTGTGGACACGTGCGTGTGGGGAGATGAGTGTAAATCCTTTCAGGCATTCTGTCTCTCTCTCTCTCTCTCTCGCTCTCCCTCTTTACCGGGACAGAAGGAGCAGGCACCAGACCCATCCCTCCGCGCGCGAACGCGCACCCGCTGGTCCTGGCGGGTTTTTGACGGTTCAGAAAGGGGGGTCACCCCCTTTTTGGTTCGGCTGTACAGGGGCATGGAAGAGAGATCCCCCCCCATATCAAGTCACAGCAATACTCTCTGTCTGTCTGTCTTTCTTTCCATCGCCAGGGGTGGTTGGGGCAGCAGCCTCCCCACCGCGCACAAGTGTGCCTCTGCCTGTTGGGGATGCCAAGAAGTTGCAAGCACATCGCCCTCAAAGGCTTGTCCCTCTCACTCACTCACTCACTCACTCACTCACTCACTCTCCCTTCTTCCGTTGGGCGTAGGTCCAATCCCCCGGGCACCAGGGTCCCCCCATGTGTTATGGGGCATTGGAAGGATGTGAGAAGTTAGTGGGTCAACGTTATGTGTCCCCACAGTACAGAGTCTCTCGTGTAAGTCATGCCCACGACCGACAGACGAAGGCAAGCAATCGGAGACTCCCAACTAGAAAATTGCAGCAAGGATGCGTTATCCCCCGAACTCCATGCTCCAGGATCCGCACAATTTAAGAAACGCTTCATACCTAGTCTCTCTCTCGCTCTCTTTGTTTTGCCAGGGCTAGGGGCAAGAGGAGCAAGCTCCCCTCTCTCGGTCTCTCCTCTTCTCTTTCTTACACACCGTTACGCAAACGCCTACCTATGTTTCTACACCTGCTTGTCCGTATGTATCCGCATTAGATATGTGTGAATGTGCGGTGTGTGTATGTATGTGTGTATATATATATATACACATAGACGTAGACAGCTAATTGCAAGGAGTTCGGTGCACAGGTTGTGTCCTGTGATGCCCGTGACGACGATGATGGGGTGGCGCTGATCGCGGCGGCGGTGGTGACAGTCGCGAAGGTGATGGCGATGGTGGTGCAGATATTGATGGCGACAGTCATGATGACGACTGGGAGGAGGAGACATAGGAGGAGGACGACGACGACGATAACGATGATGGCAACAATGACGATGTAACAGTGATGACGTGTCGAGCATGACATTGACGACGATGATGCTGGCTCGTCGTCATCCCGAGTTGCGGTTATGCACCTTCCATGTCATAATGCATAGGAGGCCAAGGGACAACACCGTACAAGTAACAGGAAGAAACAGCTTTCTGCTGAAACTCCTAATACTAAATGCAAAGCTGTCAAAACTTGAAATCACCCGTTGCTCTTTAATGCAAGCCTCCCAGACTCCTAGCTCGACTCATGGAAACTTCATGGAGGACAATGGTGTCGGCATTTCGATGGCGACCCCTCCGAAATGGAATCAGGGCATGGATGGCGTGCGAGCTTCCATACTTTAAGCTTTCCTTGGTGCAGCCTTCAAGCCTGTCAAGCCGTAACATGACAGTGCAAGAACAAAACCCTGCAATGACGCGTGAGTGTGAGTGTGTGTGTGTGTCGCTTGCTATCTGCATGTTATGCAGATGCTATCGACTTGCTTCACCGTGCAACCCTTCTGCATCTGCACTCCCTCCTTGCACCAACTGAGTGTAATGGCCTGAACGGTTGGCAGATGTCTTGGCCTGAGGAAACACGTCAGGTCTGTCACTGAGAGGCAATACCGTTCACCACACATTCGACACAAGCGGAACACACCCACGAAACAGAGTGAAGGACAATGGACGACACCTTGATATTATTACATTCCGTTGACTGAGATGATGTTTTGGCTGTTGTGTGACCAAGTTTCCGGGGGGGAGGAACACTGGCCGGGCCCTCAGGCGGAGCTTCCTGCTCTACGGCTGCGCGACAAGAAAAACCCATTGGAGCTGGCAAGGCCTCCCCCAAACCTCGTGGATGGACAGAACAGGAGTTTTCGGATGATCATAAACAAAAAAGACACAAGTAGAAATATCCACACACACACACAAACACAGTGCATGCGTGCGCTGCATTGTGCCATTGTTTCGTCGAAGCTGCGTGCACATCGTGCACATGGCATGTCTTCACGCTCGCTCATGCGGCGACATTTCTGACGCTTACGGTCACAGAACCCCCCTAAATCCGAAAACCCTACCCCTTTCTTACACCGTGGCCGAGGACAGAGCTGGAGCTGATGGACGAGGCCTCACGACAAGACGAAAGAGTCCGAGAAGGAGGCTGAAAAGGGTTTTAGGGCTCAGGGTGCTGGCTTTAGGGTTTACGGCTTTAAAAGGTAGTGGAGCTTGAGAACAAACAGCTGCATGGTTGTGAAGTTCATGTTTGTCAGTACCGGCTCTGCAACATCACGTTTTATCTAGGCTGGGAGTCCGGACAACTGCTGAAACGGCTGCCGCTGCCCGAATCGCCAAAGATGCAAGGATCCGTCCTGACACACAGAACCACTTCCACACACGACTTCGCGCACATGACATAGCTTGTCACACCATTGTTTGTGCTTCTTTGGGATGGACAGCTCTCTTGCCAGCTGCATCAAGCACCACACAAAACCACAAACAGACACAACACGAAAGAGAGCTTGAGGATGCGCCTCATGCGCTGCTGCGAAAACTGACCTGGAAGGATGTGATGTGGCCTCAAACTGCTGTGCTCGCACACGTGAGAAAGAGAGTGCATTGGACAATGAGCATGTTTAGGGTTTCGGGTCGCACCGCGTCACAACTGGATCATGGCTTGGCTGAGGTTATCCGGAGCGGGCGGACCGGCTGCAAGACCAAACGATTTCGACTGCAACGACCTTCGCTCGGGCTTTTGCGCCGACGGGTGTGCATGCGAGTGCGACAACCCTTGTCGAGATCTAGTAGAGTCCATCCGCTTCACAGTCGCAAAGCGTGTCGCAGCCGAAAGGGCAGAAGCTGTGATGCAACCAGCGATCAAGTAAGCCTTCTGCGCTGACAACCGGCGAGTTTTGTAACGCGGCCTGACGAAGCATCAGAGTCACTCCCAACGCCCTTCAGCGTTCGAGTTGCCTGTGGTACACCATCTGGAAGCCTGGCCAAAACGAAAGAAAACTCAGGAAGTCCAGAGTCTTTACATGTTATGCCATGCAGTCATGGACGGAAGGTCATGTTGCCAAAGCTCTGCGCGATCTTGCTGGAGTCCGAGACTAGCTGCTTTGCTGCTTTACCGACAAGGCTGCCTGTGCACGGTAGGAGCACAGGCAAACAGACATAATCGTTTAAAACGACGGAAACTGGCAAAGCTCGGGTGTTAGAGCCGATACAACTTGATCATGGAGCTTAGGGTTCAATGCCTTTTCTAAAATCACTGGCCTCAGTGTGGCAAGGAAATACGCAACTTCCGCCCCACGGTCAGCAGTGACCTCAACACACAGTCTGACTAGACGAGGGAGCAATCCCTATCACTGCGGACGCACAGCAAGGCTTGGATTTTGGTATTTGGCTTTTGAGCTTGATAGTATGCAGCAGTCAAGCGACTGCGAACCACTTCCCAGCTACGTCTAGTTATTTGGAAAGGTGCTGAGTTATCCATGTACCTCCTGTTGCGGCTGCTGGCTGTCGCTCTGGTGGTTGCTTGTGACTCTGGTTGTAGCTCCAAATGTTTCAATATGGGAATAGTGATACTTCTGAGAAGTTCAGCAGGAAGGGAGGGAAAACAGCAGGAAAGAGCGTGCTCCCTGCTCGAGCTCGTGACACTTTGTTCGCCATCACCGGGGGTTGCGTCGTCCATCGGAAGGTCAGCACCACCTGTCGACCAAGAGATCATACAACCCCAAGAAGCGAATGCTGCCGCAGAGCTTGAGGCTAATCTTGACTGAACTTGCTTGTGACAAATGAGCATCCTGACCCGTTCCTTCCGTTAAGGCTCCGACCGAGCAACAGCTCGGCATCCACGTCGAAAGTCAGAGATCCCACCGCTGGTGAGCTGGCACGAGGCACACACGCCGTCTGTAGCAGCTAAACCAGCCATGTTTAGAACAAACAACAGCAACAACGAACATCATGGCAATGATAGCCAAGATTAGAAGAACAATGTCAAAGATGGCATCTTTATTGATGAATGTGGATAGCTTTGGAGTGACTCCTACGAAGATAATGATGATAACAACGGCAACAATGATTCCTGGCATGACAATTGCGACACCGACACTCGTAATCAAAACCAAAGTCGCGACTACAGACTCTAGAAGAACCTAGATTTGCTACCCCGTGCAAGATGCGACTGTACTCAGCAGGGGCACTTTGTGTCGGTAACAAGGAGACATGGCCTGCTCAACGCCAAGAGGGCATAGTTCTCAACGTTCTGACTGTAGGAAGCCTGTCAGTATGGTGTGGGCAGATAAAGAGGCGACGCGCGATCAAGCTGTGACAGGT